ATGGCGCCTACTAGGCGTGTGAAATGCGCGTTGCGGTGGAGACCTCTGGCCGTGGGCATTGAGCTTTCCCGCATTTAGTATATCGTCCCAATAACTAAGATTATTGGTACGGCATACTAAATGCGAGAAAGCCCAATGTCAGCGGCCAAAAGTTTCAACCACGACGCACATTTCACGCGCCTAGAAGGCGTCATTATTTGAGAGTGGAGAAAACGCACGCCCTAATAAGCGTATGAACACACGGGCCCCCATGCATCATATTGTTATCGGATATCGTTATAGGAGCTCAGAAACGATCTACTAAATGTCTCTAAGTACTCCTTTAGGCGAATTGAGTAGTGCAGGAAAGATCAACGTGCTGCTTTATGTATAATTACGCACATATACGAATGGCAGTTGTGAATCATGTTACGCCTGGTACATTGCGCTAAGTAGCTGCAAGCTGTTCACAGCTGTGCATCTTGTATAAAGATTTTAGGAAATTTATTTTTGGCGTCTAAAAACCCCAAAAAAGAGAAAGAGAGGGAGAGAGAGAGAGGGATCTTGTTAGGCTCTAGTTACAAGAAGGAACACTCCAAAGGGAACTAAATAGAAAAAGGCAAACACATTTCAGCTTCGGGGCTAAACTCTTTATTTGAAATCTTTTTTTTTTTTTTGGTACAAATAAGCCACTAAAAAGTATAATGCCCACTAACTGCTAAGAACTGCCACAACTATGAGTATATTGAAACAAATATGAATGAATGTCAATATTTTGCATTTTTAGCGGGTTTGAATCAGGATATATTTTTCAGTAAATGTTAGAAAAATATCAATATATAAGTCATTGCCATATGTTTTGCAGCTACGCAGTGATAATTGTGTGGTGTCATACTTCTTTGCGGTTCGTTTTCTACAACATACAGCAATTGGTATATTAGAAAAATTGTGCTTTGTGGCAAGTCTGTGATTTTCTAAAAGAAGTTAACCGCAGAATAAGAAGGAGGTTTTTCCTTCTAAAAATGGTTCGTAACAAAACACAACCAGTTTAAACAACGTCATCACTTCGCTAACAAAGGTCAAACTGGCATAAATATTAAATGAGTTCAAATGAGCAAAGTGTTGACTTTGTTACGGAAGTTAACATTTGCTAACAAAAATTGAATTGGCGCGTGATGACTAGATTTAGTTTTGGAGCATTCGACCACGTGGCACTTGCCATTTTTTTCTACATATCATAGATTTTTCATTATTAAGGGCGGCCCTTTCATTCACTTGCTAGAGCGATTAATATTTTGATGTACATAACTCCCCTCCAACCATTCCTCAAAAACAAGTACGAAAAAAAAAAGAAAAAAAATTTGTGCGAGCAAAAAGTGCAACTTTGAGAGAAGATCACGCAACCTTTTCTGCGCCCACGCTACCTCAGACCTGCTTGCTGGTTTCACTACTCTCTGTACAAAAACCAAGCAGCTGCCCAAATGCTGCTGGGTATGTTACGCTTTTTTAAGTAGTAAACACAGAGGCATAGCACCAGCGCTTTCTCGAGTGACGTGTCTGGTTGCAGGCCGATTTCATTTCGTGGTTCGTTGACGCAGATTAGCCGTCTCGTTTCGCGTTACACAATGCAGGGTCCCAGAATATCCGTCGGTGCAACCTGTTGACAATAAGATTAAGATATTATGGCCTAAAGAAAACTTAGTATTACAAATATGGCTATAAACACTTGAACGTTCACATTGTCCACGTTGCACTAACTGAAACGCTCATAACAGACTGTTCTTAGTTCGTAAAGCTGTGTAACATTAAGTGCACTTTGAGCGTGCTTGAAGTATTCTCCAGTGTGTCGAACCGAAGAAAATACGGGTTCGGTTACGGTTCAGGTTCACGTAAATTTATTTTGTTCCGGTTCAGTTCCGGTTCGATTAATTCGATCCGCGAACCGGTTCGCGAACCGGTTCGGAAATTATAAATGACAAATTGCAACATCAAAATAAATTACAAATAAAACATCTGAAATCAGCACATACGAAACGGGATACATCGTAGTGTAAGGCTCAGGGGTTTCTACCAGGAATGGTTTCTTTATGTGCACTCAAAGGTTACCTCACCGACGTTTACGCATTCGGACTTCATCTAATTGGGTCCGACGCAGTAGCTGTAAACTACGCGACCTCCTTACAAACCCACTTACAAGTAGAACTCGCTAACTATCCCGCCACCTCGGCGTGTAAGCAATTGAAGGAACAGTGGGGAGAAAATACAGCTTTCTTTATTTGAACTAGCCTTCGGTAACTCAAATTAGACCCTTAAAGAAGTTTTCATTAAACAAGATACGGAATATGAAAAACACTTCACCGAACGCAACGCCAGAAGGACGTAATAGGATAAATATTAAAATAGAAGAGTTCGCTGTCTCACAAATATGTTAGCTTCTAAGTGCCTATACGAAACCGAATGCATTATTATCAAACTCCACAGCCTTTTCTTTTCTCGTCCCGATGGAAGCAAGCTTCAAGAACTCGCGCGTTCTAGAAACGTGTTATGAAATGAGCACACAGCAGCATTTAGGATTTACGAGATTGTAGGAAAATAAAATCCCGTGACGCGATTTTTTTTTTTTTTTTGCATAGCCTTTCAATTTTTTTTTTCCGTGAAAGCCGCGACCACCGCAATACTGGTTCCTATGTCAAGATTCATGGATGCAGCGTTTATATTCCTAAGACTGAGTGGAGAAGAAAAATATGTAAGCGAGGTGTGTGTCAGTTGACGGCACTTAAAAAACAAATGGCATTGATAGCACATTCATTGTCAACAGCGCGTGGCCGAACCGTTTTGACATGAGCCGGTAACCGTTATTTTTTTCCGGTTCGGGTTCATCGCGATAACAATATAACGGTTCGGGTTCGGGTTCAGTTCCGGAAAAAATACCGGTTCAGTTCCGGATTTCGGTTCGGTTCGGTTCCGGTTCGACACCCTGGTATTCTCTTTATTGCGAAAGTGATCTACTCGCCGCTGAAATCAATGCGTTTTTTTGCTAGCGTCACAAAAAAGCGTCATGCCGACGCGGTACGGTTATGCCGACGGCGACGCCGCTCAAACTAACTTGATATTTCTGCAAAGCTTTATCTCAAAGAAACGATTGCGTTGAGACCGATCAAAACCAAAATGAAACATGCCTGCAAGCACCGGCACATGCAAAGATTCACGCGGCTGCCTCTGATGTTACTTCGATTCTTTGCGTCTCCTTCACCGCTGCGACCCTTTTCCTCCTACAATGCAACGCTGTGTACCCTTTTCCTTCTTTCCTGCTGTCACCCTTTTTCCCTTGCCACATTGCCACGTACCCATTTTGTCCTTCACCCATATTCTGGGTGTTCGTCGATTCCGAACCGTAAACTTTCAACACGGGAGACCGACGCAGAGGCGGGACTTCAGGCAAAATATGCTTTTGAAGTTTTTTGTGACAGCAATGCAACACTTGGAATAACAAGCTCACCTCTGTACTGCAGTGTCTACAGCCGAGACCAAACTCGCCCGACTACCTCAACGACGCCCCAACATGCAGGGTTCATTCCTTCACCTTTCCAAATAAACAACATTTGTTTCAATTACGCGCTCAATCACAAGCAGCAAAAACGGTTTCCTAGATGTGGCAGTTATGTTGAAAAGCACAACGCTTCAAGAAAAGCAACACGATGAAGACTGTGCTAGTTGATACTTGCGCTTTCACAACGAAAGAAAAAGAAAACAGCGGATTAAGACAGTAATGGGGGACAAACGAAAACAGGGTTCTTACCCAATAATTGCTGTCTTCCATGAATAGCTGGCGAATGGCCGCTGTAAAGGCACCAGCCAAATGGGAAGCCCTTTCCTTGGCTGGCCATTCAGGTCCGTCTCCCACATGAATTCGGGGCACTCGCACTCGCTTTGTTTGCAGCGACCCCGCGGTACTCCACGCACGTCAAGTGCGGTAAACATGGCACACTGTGCCCGAACTCACGCGCCGTCTCTCGCTAAATCACGCAAGTCGCAGTCAGTCAAGCTGGCCCAGCCATCAGCCACAGCCACAAACAAGGCGTGTCGGGAACTGACTGAGCGAGCCAGGGAGCAACGGAAACAGCGTAACGGCTTTCTCGCTTTTCCCGCCAAAAAGAGGACGCATGCGCCCTCTGTGCTTCCAGGAAAAGAAAAAAAAAAAAAAAGAAAAGCTCACATTAACAAAAAGGCACGCGCAAGTGGATCTTCAGGAGGGTCAACCCATTTGGATATATATTAGCGTGACGATGAATGGATGCGCGCGCGTTTCTCCGAAAATCTAAGCGTGTGTTTTGCGGTCGTCACGCTAACGCTGTTGATCACGTCCGAAAAAAAGACTGAGCGGGGTTCCTTGGACTGCTTTAACGCTTGGACACAGAAAACAAACGCTTATTCTCGATCACGTGGTGCTTAAAACGTCATTCCCGTCGTATTGACGTCGGTTCCACGCTTGAAACTCGCGGTTAGCGTGAGGTTCAGCGTGACAGTTTTTAGAGTGTAGTCACCTCCGCCACTCGCTACCGTAATCCTTGTTGCACATGTACATAGGTATTTTTTTTCTTGTTAATTTGGGTGTTTGCAGGCCACCTGGTACGGGCCTTCAGCACCTCTGCTGTATCCTACGTCTACCCAGGGCCGGGGATAAATTAAATGAAATGAAAAAGTATGAAGTAATTCGTTGACTTGAGTGCGTGACGTTATTGTAGCGCCTCTGTGGGAGCGAAATCTGACGTGCTGGTTTCACCAATCAAGTCTGGTTTACGTCGCCATCTTGAGCAGACAACGCAATTTCTTTTAGTGGTTACTTACAGTGACGCATTTGTAGAATTCAAAGGGAAGCTCCCCGGGAAACGAAAATCATGTTGTTGTTTTTTTTACGCCAATAAATGAATCCGACCGATCAAACGAATATAAGCGTGGGCTATACATGTAATAAACGACAAGGATTCCACAAAATACATGTAGATACATCCCTCGTTAGATGTCCTTTAATCACACTAAGGCGCTTAGAGTAAAACAGACGACTGGCCTGTGATCTGGCGAAAGAACTATATGGTGCAAGAGTGTAAACGTACATTCTAAAGCTAGGCATTAGCCCTGCATACTCATGCTTCTGATGACGCAAACATATTTATAGCGTAGATTTGAATTTCTGTATTATTTTATGACCTCCAAATTCCAAATCAATCAAAGCATATAAGAGTCTGTTCCGCCTTTGTAAGGCCGAATGTACAAAAAACTAGAAATTCTCGTTGCAATATTAGCAAATAAAAAAAAACAAAATCTACAGCCGTGTCTTCGTCGACTTGTTATCTGCCTTTGCGCTCCCCCAGAAACGTGAAGGTCCCGGGTCGGGCGGCGGTCTTGGTGTCCCACCCGTGGACACGCGGGTAGATGAGAGGCATGAGCTGCGTGCAGCTCTCCGACACGCCGGCCCTGTAAGTGACGAAGCCCGTGTCGAAGACCTCGATGCGTGCCGGGCTCTCGGACCTGAACTGCGGCCACTGGACCGCCTTCGACACCGCGGGAAGAGACCTTCGGCAGAGCGGACAATGACAATGAGACCAGAGAGCTCAGCTTTCTATTGGGGAAGAATAGAGAGCAAGTGAAACTATATGAAACCACGCGGGTAAAATAAATTTCACCCATTCTAAATAAATCGCGCAACCGCGTTTTTGTTTGATATAACAGTTAAAATTGCCCCGAGGGTGTGGACAGGTGCTGCATTTGTTATGTCAAAATATCAAAGGAAAGTCTAATTTTCTGTTTAAAGTCGAATATAAAATTCAAATATTTTGTATAGGGTAATATAAATGTAATAAAATTTCATGGAAAGTAAAGTGAAAAGGCTATTGCAGGCTACAAAAGCTTTTGAGTAGACAAAAAAAAAAGAATAGCAAACTCTAAATACTTTTTGTTCTTCCCATTTTTATTTTTGTTAAACGAAACGTTACATAGGCTCACAACAGATATCTTTAGTTTCGCGTAACCTTCACATCGATTCAAGGGAAAGGTTCGGTTTTTATTCGTAACATCCGCTGAATGCAATCCTCAAATGCTTTCGCAAGACAAACACGGTACACAGACACACTGCTCAGGTAAATGCAGTCGCGTAACGTACAAAACTGATATTTACGATTTATTTAATATGAATGCGTGGTATTTATTTGAGCACAGTTTACTTGGAACAAATATTATGTATAGCAGGGGCGCCAGTAACTTCTTGAGTACTATTATTCTTCATAACGCTTTGCACGATCAAGATGAAAATTATAATAATCCACATGGAATTTATTATCGATTGCACTAACGACAAGCATATAGAGATAGTTCAGTACGTATACTAAGCAGTAGTCTTATGTGATCATGCTTGAACCTTGCCAAATTTTTGAAGAATCACTAGGGCTCGGCACTTCACCGATTAACCTGCCGATTAACCGTTTAATGCTTAAATCGGTTAAATTTTGACAAACAAACAAAACAAATAAAAATTCAACGCCTTCACCACGCAAACGAGGACGAGTACAACTGTATATGAGGGCAAACTTTAGGTGAAATCTTGAGCTAAAGTAAATTGGAGGGGCGAGATTTGTAACTCCAAATCATGTGGAAAAGGTCATACGTGTCCCAGCTACGTCAACGCTGTGCGAGTGTCCGTTCAGCGCAGCAGAGACTATTGTGAACAATCGGAGGAGTTCGCTATTGCTGGAGAATATCAACACACATTTTTGCCTCCACGGCTGGAGTAATAATTTGTGAGGGTGGGTGTCTTTGGACTATTCCCGACTATACATCAAGGATGACTTAAAATCCAAAATTTTTTATTGTGCCGTTTATCGTATTTCAGCAAAGGCAACAAAAGTTAATTTTGAACACGGGTGAAGTCAGCGGAAAGGGTAGAAAACTCTAGAAGAATACAGGAAACGGGACGGGACTCTGAACTCGCGACTCATCCAAAAGAGAAGAACAAACAAGATGACATATATCGGACAGGCGCATGCTCATGGCGCAAGAACTCAAGGGCGTGAGGCAATGATTTCAGCTCATAAAAGCGTTTAAGAACGATACTTCTTTTTGAGATAGCGCTACTGAAGGCTTGCTCACACAGCGCTCCCCAAACATCGTATAATAGACGCCTCGTAAAGTTTTTCAGGAGAGTGTTCCCTTATATATAAACCGATGATAGTGCTAGCCAGTTAGATTGCGAAAACAAGCTTGAGAGTGCAGGGGTGAATGACCCCCACCGTTGATCTGAGATAGTGTGCCTGACGTTCTTCTGTTTAGAGTCATACCATCATTTGCAGTACCAATGCCGACAGACCGCGCTCACAGGGAAAATACAAACAAATTGTCGAGAACAAAATGTCGCCGTAGAGCAATCAGCGCCACGAGCGCTTGCAGGAATACGCTCTTTCGCGCGCTTCAGAACAAAAGAAAAATAAGCATTCGGAACAAAATGGCCAGATGTCACCACCCCAAGAAGAGCGCACATGAAAGCACCCTAATCTAAGAGGCAGGTTATGCTCTCGTAGCCTATCAATGATGCACCGTCCAGTCTGTCCAACATACGTCCTACCACATGTTATAGGGATGATGCACACTATGCAGAAAGCACAAGAGGGGTAGTATATATGTTTCTTCTTACATTTCTGTCGGGAAACTTTGCACAAGTTTAAGTCCACTTAGGAACAGATTTCTGTCGTTTTTGAGGTGCTGAAAATACAGCTGGAACCACATATGTTAGGCTACTTCTTTTAAGTTATGTATTCTACAGTTCCCTACCTTTTTTCGCTGATTTTAACCGTGTTTAATGATTACAAACTAGCCGAGCTCACCATTCTTCTGCAATTATTACTTTTCAAGATGTATTATGCACGGGAATGAACGAAACCGATTGATCGATTAGTTAATCGATTAATGTAATCGGGTTAAAACATTTATTCGACGCCCAGCCATAATAATCAAACTTTCAAGGTGACGACAAGCTCTTCAGACTCTTTATACTAGCCTCTCAGCGTAACATCGGTCATGCCAGCTTATTAAATCCAGGTGTTGTAGCCGCGAGCGACGAGGCAGAGCCAGAGTGACGACCAGCGTAGACTGTTTGTTCAGCACGCCAGTGCGTAACCAAAAGAACACGGAGCATACGGCTCCCAGCGCTTATATAGAGATAAGCGACGCACTATCAATGTGACGTCATACGCGATGCGCTTCGCAAGATACTACACTCCTCCCCAGAAATTTTGTTTACACAATGTTAGGGCGTGTACCAATCGGGAGGTTTTCTTGCACGAGCACTGCGTCGAAGAGTCTGTGCCCCTTGAGGAGAGGCCGGTTCTCGGAGAGGTGACTGCGGTGCGGAACCTTGGCGGGGACTTGCATTCCGCTGACCCAAGGGGGCTGAGTCTTCGGGTGGCTCTGGCGGTGCTGCAGCCGCTTTCGGAGACTCCAACGCAGGAAGAGGAGGACTCGTAGCAGACGCCTCCGGCACACGGTCTGGAATCGAACTGGGTACCACACATGAAGGCTCCCGGGACCCTTGTTCGTCACTTTCAAAATAACGAGGACGTAAATTTTCTGCATGCACAAACCTGGTCCCGCGTCCCACACGCACAATGTACGTAACGGCACTGCACCTTTTCTCGATGACCCCAGGTAGCCACTTTGCCTCCCCCGGACGAAGGCCTTGAACTATTACTCTTTCGCCCTCTTCGAATGACCTCCACGGCCCTCTTCTGTCGTCAGCTTGGCTCTTGATCTTGGAGAAACGATCTGCTATACGTCTCTCCAGATCTGGCTGTAGCAGGGTCAGGCGGGTGCGGGGCTTCCACGACAGGAACAGTTCAGCAGGCGTTTGCCCCGTTGTCGTGGTGGGGGCGTTCCGGTACCTGAATAGAAACTGGTCTATACGGTGTTGTAGGGTCTTCCTGACGCCCAAAGAGTTTTCGTCGAGAAGCTGTCGCAGAAGATCCCGTTTGACCGTCTGGACGCATCTCTCGGCACTTCCATTTGATGCCGGATGGTACGGAGGTGTCCTGGTATGACGCACTCCGTTCCTGAGCAGAAACTCTGTGAAGTTCTTCGCAGTGAACTGCGGCCCGTTGTCCGTAACGACCTCCTCCGGAAGGCCATACGCCGCGAACACACTCCGAAGCTTTTCAATAGTCTTTTCTGCCGTTGTTGAACTCATCACGAACACCTCCACCCATTTGGAGTGTACATCCACCAGCACCAAAAGCCATTGGTTGTCTGTGAATGCAAAATCCAGGTGGATTCGTTGCCATCTGCGGCTCGGCCAACCCCAAGTTTGTAGTGGGGCCTTCGGTGAAGCGTTTTGCGTCAACTGACAGGTACTGCAACTTTTAACAACACATTCAATGTCTTGTGTTAACCGAGGCCACCAGACATAGCTACGCGCGAGCATTTTCATGCGCGTAACTCCGGGGTGACCTTCGTGCATAAGCGCTAACACTTGTTTGCGCAAGCGGCGAGGGACAATCACACGATTTCCCCACGTAACGCACTGCTGATCTACGGACAGCTCATGCCGGCGGACGAAGTACGGGGACAATTCACTGTCCGTTACACGCGTAGGCCCACTCCTCGTGTACATCAACACTTTCGATAACACCCTATCAGTGCTCGTTCCCTTTTGGATCGCGTCAGCAGACAAGGGAAGTTCATCGACAACTGAGAAGAAATGTACATAATCTGAAACATCCTTATCATTCGGCAACGGCAACCGCGACAGCGCGTCAGCGTTTCCAATATCGCTGCCTTTACGATACACCCATTTGTAATCGTATGCCGCTAGCAACAAAGCCCAGCGTTGCATGCGTGCCGCTGACATCACTGGAACAGGCTTGCCGTGCGCCAGAAGGCTAGCTAATGGCTGGTGATCTGAATCAATGACGAAACTACGCCCAAACAGGTACTTGTGAAATTTCTTGAGCCCATAGACAACGGCGAGAGCCTCTTTTTCGATGTGAGCGTACCCTTGCTCTGCTTTGCTCAGTGCCCTAGACGCGTATGCAATTGGCTTTTCATCTTTACCATTCTTATGAAACAGAATGGCGCCTACGCCATACGCTGACGCGTCACACACAAGCCCAATCTCTTTTTGTTGGTCGTAGTATTTCAAAACATTCTCGCCCGTTAGCCACGTTTTACTTTGCTGAAATGCTTGTTCTGCCTGAAGTGACCACTTGAAACCTTTTTTCTGGTTTACTACGTCATACAAAGGCCTTAGCTTGGCGGCCATGTTAGGAACGAACTTCCCATAGAAGTTAAGCAACCCCAGGTAGGCCCGCAACTGTGATTCCTCCTTTGGTGACGGCGCCTCCATTATTGCCTTTACTTTTTCATCTGACGGGCGTATGCCCTTTTCATCAAGAACGTGCCCCAAGTACGAGACCGACGTTTGAAAGAACCTGCATTTTTCTTTCTTTAACCGTATGCCCCTGTCCTGAAACCGTGACAGAACACTTCCCACCTTTTGGAAACACTCATCAAACGTAGCTCCAGCTACCAGCACGTCGTCCAGATAGCACGCTACGCGATCCAGCCCTTTTAACACGTCATCCATGACTGCCTGAAATATCGAAGGTGCACTCGTTATGCCATAGGGTAAACGCGTGTACCTGAACAACCCCAAGTGTGTGTTGACCACGACTAGTGACTGCGCCTGCGGATGCAATTCCAGCTGCTGATATGCCGTAGATAGATCAAGCACAGTAAAATATTTGCACCCGGCCATTTTTGCAAACAGATCGTCCATGACGGGAAGGGGGTAATGATCCGTTCTAAGGCATGGGTTTAGCGTCACTTTAAAGTCACCACACACTCTGACCTGGTTGTTCGGTTTAGGCACGACTACTAGTGGAGTCGCCCATTCACTTTTCTGAACAGGTACTAGCACCCCTGTTTTTACGAGATTCTGCAATTCGGACGACACTGCTTCCCGAACCGCAAATGGAACCGAACGCGCTTTACAAAAGACTGGTGTACTACCCTCTTTAAGCACTAATTTAATTGCACTGTTCTTGATTAGGCCAAGGGTAGGCTCAAAAAGCTTAGCGTACTTTTCAAGCAACGCCGTTACCTTGTCCAAGCAAACCCCATGCACACTAGACCAGTCCAACTTAAGGGCCACCAGCTAGTCACGTCCAAACAGCACAGTGTTGGTATTCTCGTTTGTCTTCACGACAATTAACGGGAGCTGCTTACGCTGACCGTTGTGCTCTACCGAAACGGTTAGCTTCCCCGTTACCGAGAGTGGAGTACCCCCGTAAGCTTTTAGCTTTAGACTGCATGGCTCTTTCGGTAGACTGGGCCAGTATTTCTTATACAGTGCCTCTGGTAATATTGATACGGATGCCCCCGTGTCAATCTGCATGCGGACATTTCTCTGCTCAATTTTCAGACAAATTTCGTAAAGTCCGGTGCGCCCCTCACAGGAGTAGATATTGTGCAACACCAGTTCACCCCCGTCACTGTCCTCAGCTATATTGCGTTCGCAGCGTCTCTGCTTTTATCCTTGCACATTTTCGCTAAGTGTCCAACACGTTTACAAAAATGACAACGATACTTGCGAAATTTGCAACTAGACGCTTCATGCGCTGAACCGCATCGGAAACAGTCCGGCGATTTCGTCGCTCTTGCCCCTGCGGGTACTGTAGCCGGTACCTCCCTCCGGCGCGGTGGGCGTTTCCCGCTGTCTGGCTTGTGGCGAAGAGCGCTGACGGTCTCTTGCCCCACGCTGGGCTGCAAATCCCGGCTTTCCTGGCTGGCCAACTCGATACTCCTTGCGATATCGCAGGCGTTTTTAAACGTTAACTTGCTTTTCTTCAGCAACTCAGCTTGAGTTCCTCTGTCACAGAGCCCGGCCACGAAACGGTCGCGAAGAGCCTCGTCCAGAAACGCCCCAAAGTCGCAGGACGCCGCCAACCGCTTCAGCTTATACCGCGAAAGCTGCCACCGTTTCGCCTTCTTGCTGGAAGCGACGGTTAAATCTGAACCGCTCTGCAATGACAGAGGGCTTTGGTACGTAGTGCCCTCGCAGGGTCTGCACTAGCTGTGCATATGTCTTGTTTTCCGGCTTTTCCGGTTCCAGCAAAGTTTTTAGAGTTTTGTAGGTTTTCTTTCCAATTGCCGTTATGAACACTGACACCGTCAGGTCGTCGCTCACCTTCGAGGCTTTCAGGAAGTGTTCGAACCTCTCCACGTAGGACTCGAAGTCTTCGTCGCCGTCCTCGATGAACTGGTCGAACCTTCCAATCGTCGCCATCCTGCCAGTCTCTTCGCAGCCTGCTCCGGGACCGCCGCTAGTGGCTTCTTGCAACCCGGCGGAATCCTTTATCCCATCCTCGTCGCCAGTATGTTGTAGCCGCGAGCGACGAGGCAGAGCCAGAGTGACGACCAACGTAGACGGTTTATTGAGCACGCCAGTGCGTAACCAAAAGAACACGGAGCATACGGCTCCCAGCGCTTATATAGAGATAAGCGACGCACTATCAATGTGACGTCATACGCGATGCGCTTCGCAAGATACTACACCAGGAATATGAATATCTTGTCTCCACGACAAATGTCCGAAGTATTTTTGTGTTAGGGCTAGTTCCCAATTAGGTGTCACGGCTATGGCATAGTCAAACAAAGCATGAATATTGTTTTGACTATTTTTCCACCCAATGCACGAGTGTATTTTTTCTGGAAATTGTATTAAATACAATATTTGCTTGTCGTTTCTTGGTTTTGATGGCTATACTCATTTAGGCATTCCTAACTTTGTTGATAAATGTTCTTATTTTTCGAATATTCCAAACTCCTTTAGGATATCTAATCGGCGTGAACTGAACCGTGGACCCTAATGCCGTTGATAGGATAAAATATTATTACCAACAGTAAAAACCGGGAACTGCAGTCCCGACTTTGAGAATAAGTAGTGTGGACGCCGGCTTAATTTAACTTCAGTTCTTACAGTGAGTCACCCGATGTAATTCACACGTTCCCCCATAGCCTATACTTCGTTTCAGCTTCCGTCCGAGCGCAGTCAAAGGCTGAGGGACGGTTCGCAACTTCGAGAAGAGCATTCCTACGCACCACAAAGTAGTGCGCAAAAGTAATATTTTTAATATAATTGTTTTGTGCGTAAATATTGCACAACATTCGAGATGTGTACTGCAGAGAATGATTTGCAACGAAAGGAATTAAATATCTAAGTTTATGTTTTTATTGGCATATGTAAATGCATGTGGTTTGGTGAAAACGCGTACGTCCGCTGTCAACACGGCTGCAGCGCTCGGTTCTTCTGTGTCATTTCGTTCCCATAATGGCCGAATCATGTGCTTCGCTGCTTTCCTCACCGGGTCGCTGCAGAACATCCTTTCGCAAAGGCACGTTTAGGCGTCAGGCGCGAGCGGTCGTGATGAATGTCTACTTTCAAATTCGGCAGGAGACTCCGACCGCGTCGTACCGCGAATGCGTTGTAAACAAGAAAAGCGTCCGGGCCACTACAATTCACTGATACGCGGCGAAAACGGGGCACACCTTTACCTACCGACCACATTGAACGCCGAGAAGATGGTGAAAAGGACTACGTCTCGAGCCCTCGTATATCCAGACATTACAAGGAAACATCAACGGCCGGGTCATCGGGCACCTGGCAATGTGTATTTACATTTTGAAACTATGCCGAAATGCCAGACAGGTGGAAAGCTCGGACACAGACGGCAGCGGCAAGATTACGTACTGACATTCCCTGTGATTAAATTTCAGAACGTGAAAGGACTCCTTTTAAACCTGCAGCAGGCGATACCGTTGATACACCCGTAGCAGACGAAATACTTGGCGAACGCGGGCGGCGCGGACGACCAGCGGCGCAGCGGAGTGATACAAAAGTGCAGGCAAGATCGCGTGACCGATTGCCGGCGTGTGATTGGCTCCGGCAACACGTAGCTTTGGCTGCGCTCGGACGGAAGCTGAAACGAAGTATAGGAAAGCCAGGTGGTCCAGGTTATTTACGCATTATAAAAAAGAAAACTTTGGGAACCTGCTTCCTCATACGAGATAAGAGGCAGGACGTGAGCGCAATCCAAAGAACGACGCCTGGAAGACGTCTTCGACTAGTGTGTTCAGTGTCCTTTACCGCCCACGCACTGAACGTGGTTTCAAAGTGGCCACAAATGGCGTCACGGGAGCCGGAGTGCCATTCTGTTGTACATCGCGATCTTGCCGATCGGTCGTAGAAGTTACGGCAAAAGGTATGAGCAAACACGCGTATCACGGTCCACACGGAGGCGTCCCAACCCTGGGAAATTAAGACCGTAGCTTGTCGAGCTACAGCGACGTCCAGCAGAGCAGATATCTGCCGCATCCTCCTCCGCCGCTGCGCAACCGCCCGGATGGCGGCAGACAACAGCAGCTTGACACTTCTGCGAGGTCAGCTGGCGGAAATAGTAGGACCACTTTTGGGGGCCCGGTAAACACATCGGTTGGGGCCTTAATCTACACAGTGGGACCAAGCGGGACCAAGGGACCGGGACATGGCCGCCTGCTGCGATTGGCCAGCTCCTCATTGCTGACCGATCGCAGCAGGCGGCCATGTCCCGGTCCCTTGGTCCCGCTTGGTCCCGCCGTGTACATTAGGGCCTTCGAAGACGACTTCCATTCCAGGTACAATCATCCAAAGCTTTAACATCGCGTGCGTGGTTCTTGCTTTGCTTCAAGGAAGGTCGCAATTCGTGTAAAGATTTGCAAGCTATCAGGAATTGAAGCGAAATACTGCGTGTATGGTTCACGCCTAGAAATGTGCTCGTCTAGTTATCATGTGCTTAAAGTGATCAGTACAAGAATTGAAACCCTAGACATTTTTCTCTCAATTACGCGTTGCGGGATTAAAATAAACTGATCCTGTGCCCGTAGCACTCACCCTGTCCTGGCGAAGTAGCTCCAAAAGTCGATGACTTTCTTGCTGAGATTGCTCATGGTCCCGGTGACGCCAGTGATGAGGGGTCTTCCAAACACCAGCTCCAGGTCATCGTTGCGCGCCGTCACCTGTAAAAGGGTTCGCGAACTTCATCCAAACTATGAAGTATTATGCTCCCTTCTTGTGGATCGTGAAAAGAAAGCTCATCTGGGCAATGCTAATTTTCTCCACATCGATCCTTTGGCTCCGAGGCAAAGCGCCGGCCAACGGATTCCCCGGTGGCTGGCTCGAATCCCGGCCGAGGTTCCCGCAATCTGCTGGAGGCATATTGCGGAGAAAGCGCCGTGTAACCGAGATTTTGGTTGCACTTCAAACGATCCCCAAGTGGTCGAAATGAATCTTCACTCTTCCGCTCGAGCGTGCCACTTGCCTTTCGTTGGTTTAGCACGTATAAAAACACCCCAATTTGACTTCTATCCCGTTCTATGTCATTTCCGAGAGTATTTGAGCAAAATACTCCGTGCCTGGTTCACGCCTGAAAATGTGCTCGCCGAGTTATTATGTCCTTATAGTGGTCAGTACAAGGATTGGAACCCTACACATTTTTACCTGTGTGATGTGTACTCATGTCAACTTGCTTCTGTTTAAATAAAAATAAGTAAAAATAAAAATGATTATTCCTTAACTAGAAAATAATAGGCGAACGAAATGCTGGAACGCGAAAGAAGGCTCCAATCGACAAACGTTTCAGAAAAAAAAAACAAAAAAACTTTTTGGTAGAGTCACTTTGATAGCAAATTTGTGCGAAACAAAGAAAGTAGAAGCGACCTGAGCAATGAGCAAGGAAATTCCGGTAACAAGAGGTGAACAGAAATGGGTGAAAACACATATAAAAACTAAAACGTTGTCTTGGCCATTGTCAAAGACAATGTGACAAATAGAAAGCGTCTTCCTTTCATCTGGTACCCCCGTCTAACATTATTAATAAGCAAAGCAATCATTTAATGACAAAAGCAAAATTAAAAAAAAAAATATGGGTCAGGGTAGCCGGCGGAGTTACGAAACAATTTACGGGGAAACCCAGAAAATGTGTAAATCTCCACATTGGAAGGTTTTTTTTAATGAGTATTTTATTAAATTGTGTCGAATATCAAAACCGGTGGTCGCTTAAACTCTTAAAAATCAATATTTTGCACCGATGCGAGAAACTATACGAGTGACGCAACTGCCCACGCGTCTGAAGAGACGCACCTTTTCTGTGTTTCGGCGCGGCCTGTGCCGGAAGCGGAAGAGGTGCAGCTTAGACGCTGACGTCAGATTCTGTGCCCAGTACTCGAGTGGGCAGTCGAAGAAAAACTTGCCCAAAAAGTCCCGCCAGGCACTCCTGACCAGCTGTTTGGACTTCAAGCTCTTGTGTTCCAGCTCTTCGGCGAACTTGCGCAAGTAGTCCTGTAAAAGATGAAAATATGACCACAAAGACCACCCTCAGGACCTCGACCGGTGTACAAAAGATTAAAAAAAAAATAAGCTTGCAGAAGTGCTCAACAGGGCGCATCAACCACGAAACATCACTCTAGGCACGTAGCCAGGGGAAGGGGGGGGGGGGGGGCCATGGGGCCCGGCCCCCTCCCCCCCCCCCCGAAGTCTTTCATTTTGCTGGGACCCTCCTCTGACCCCTCCCCCTCGTACAGCATTTTGTCATGGGCGCCCCCCCCCCTCCCCCCCCCCCCCCCCCCCCCGTAACAAAATCCTGGCTACGTGCCTGCATCACTCAACTAGCCATATCTCGAGCGGACGGCAGTATTTTTGGAAAATAAAGGAGCGAATGAGGGGAGAACGTTGACGTCTTCTTATCGCAGAAGAGTTGAGAGGGAGGAGATATGGCCTCGCTCCCTTTCCTCTCCGCGCCCTCGCGGGGTCAAAGCAAACCAGGAGCAAATGAGAATCACAAGGTCCCGCAACACGTCCTAGAAATAAGGCCGTAGCGCTCCGAGTGGTTACGTCAGAATGTCAGAGAAGGAAGGCCATGGCGCAACTACATGAGATAATATCTGGTATTGGCGTGAAAAAATGTGGTCGAGCGACGCGGTTGTGTTCGTGCGCGTTTATACTACATTAATATATGTGTTAAAAGCGCAGTCTTATAAAATTTATTATATATATAATATAAACGTCATATACAACGCGTTACCAAGGTTAAAAGTACCAAATTTATATTAATGATTATCCTTGTATCCGCGGCACTACGTGCAGTTCCACACTTCCACACACTTTTCGAATGAACCGGATCCGATGCGACATTGTCTTCCCTCATATGGGCTTTGATTCTGGTAAATTTGTGTTGTGTGTGAGCTGCTGACTGTCTGAAAAAGGAACGCTGAGACATTTCAAAAGGGAAGGGAACCGAAAAAATAAAATCCAGTCATCGTACACGAGCAAGAGATGGGTCGACAACGTTAAGCTTTTTAGTCATGCTGCCGGTGCTCATGTGTGTGGTTATTTTGCTACTTGTTTCCTTCTTCCCGTCGTTTTTTTTTTTTTTTTTTTTTTTGTCGTCCCCGCAGTTTCGGGTAGATATTTTTTTTTTTTTGTTCGCTTGATACTACGGCATTTACATGGATTCGCGGAACCATTCCGGCTACGGTTTGAGTGACGTGTGGCAACTAGTCTACGATGACGCTGGTCGATTATCGATAGACCCCTCTCTCGACAAAGAGACTTCTTGGAGTTTGTGTTCAAATGTTTTCGTGGTGGATAATGCGGGACGTACGGATACGATCGACAAGTGAGAAACAACTTATTTACGGGCTTTCTTGGTCCTGTAGGACGCGAATGAAGTGCTGCAGTCGATTTTTTTTCTTAATTTTCGTGATAGAGTGGAATCTTGTTCTTCGTCGTTATTTGTGTTCTATTGCGTCAAGATTTGTAAATATGGGGGGTAATATTGTAATTTTTACTAGAAGGTGAAATAACAAATTTGTGGGATTATTGAAAGTGCATTTTTTGTGCTTATGTGTTTATTTAAAGTGATGTTATTTTATTGCCTTTACTGCGTTTATACTAGAATCTTAACTGTATTAAAGAAATACTTCAACAGAATTTGAAATATTCCGTCGTGTTCAAAAATAGGTTGAATATTGCCGCGCGCCAAGTAGGCAGCGCGGCCGTAGCCTAACGGTTAGCGCGCTTGCCTCCCACGTGAAGGGCCAGGGTTCGATTCCTGGCCGCGGCTATGCATTTTTGTTAACACTGTAATGTGATGTTCTGGTGAAATCGAGAACCGTATAGCTGATTCGAGGTCAGAATGTTCTACGCGTCGAACCTTCTACGTCGAATGCTCCAGAAGCCAACGTGTGTACAAAAGCGGCTCCGCGGGCAAGCCGGAGCCAGTTTCGCCCCAGCGTTCGACTGTGCTGCTCCGCCGACTTCGACGCCCGCGACGCTCTGTTATTATCTTTTGTTCCCTTTTATTTTTGGCACAAGTTCGCCACATTAAACGTTTATTTCTTCCTGTTTATTTCCTATTTTTTTGGTCACCACCCGTGACAATATGATCCACAATATCCGTAAATGACAATCGCGCGTTTGTATTTTGAGCCTGGTGGCTGTATTTTTCGTTATAAACGACCCACTCTGGCAAGCGCTCGGAGAAGGCCCAGCGGAGACCACGTGACATCCAACGCAATCGTGACGTAGGTCGTCTCAGGACGAGCAAAGCTACGGCGAGGCTGACGTCGAGAGGATGGCCTAGTCGTTCCAGCCACCGAAGCGGCTGCTTTTGTACGAATTTTGAGTGACGGGTTAATCTTCTATAATGTTGTAGAGGGACAATAGCGACTTCTGCGACGCACAAAAGGTATTCTCGGAAAGAGGGGAGTTCCTCCTGCCCCTCTTCTCTCGTCGTGACTGGAGGCGAGACAACCTCCGTCACTAGCTGTCAAGGTTCCTAGACGGGCATTACAAGCGAGGCGTTAGCGACATCCACCAGGTGCTCTTTGCTAATCGTTTAATTCGTTTTAAAATTCCTTTTCGTGACTTTTTTAACAAGATATTGGTATGTTCGATGTGATGTTGTTCCTTTGAACACTTATAGACCAAAAAATAAGCGCCGAAATTTCGTTGTAGTATCCCTTTAAGGTAATAGTATTATTGTATTCAAAATAAGTTATATTTTATTCTAAGGCAGCTCAATCCCATAGGCAGAAGTAATTAAGTTGAATAAACAGTAAGTTTAGTACCCCTGCCACACGGAAAAGTTAATATATTTTAATTAAATGATATGGGATTTAGTCAGCTCGCGGTCTTGAGTGGTTGTATGAGCGTCGCAAGCTGATTTGTCGACCCCATAATGTAATTCGGTCGAAATTATATTAATTTTGCCATGTGGCCGGGGTATGATGCAAGAATTCAGTGACTGCACGCGATAACATCGCTTACATGACACTTGTCGAGCCGTGTCCACGCTGACTACATCTACCTGATTTTTAACTGTGATTTGTTTTGCTGTGTCCAATCACTGCGTGTCTCGCCATTTTGTTGAAGTATTTTTGTATAAAATATGGATTCCTACCACAATAATTGCGTGGCTCAATGTTTTTGACTTAAAACGATCACATTTTTCCATTTACGTTTTATACGCATACCTCGTGCCAATTCGCACCGATTATTTAGAGGTCAAATATTTTGCCCGTGCAATAAAATATTTTCTAGACCCGTTGCTATGTGCAGCTTTAATTTTAGCTAATAAGACACGCGCATGTGACTAAAAGCGCGTTACGGCGGTCGATTCACGCGCGTTGCCTTAGCTTCAATACGCGCCTTCAAAGGTCTTGAGAAGAGCGCTACAGCCTTATTTCTAGGAGGTGTTGGGTCACGCGTCTTTTCAGCCTTGTGCGAGCGCACGTTTCTTTTACAAAAATACGACGATCTTTTGGAGGTACCGCTTTATGAGCGATGTTTTGGGACTTGTATCGATTCTGCGTTGTTTTCTGAAATTCGATTTTCGGTTCAGCATTCCTTTAACGCCCTCCTCTAGAGAAAGATCCTTTTTCAAACCACGCTGAGGCGCCAGAAATTGCTCACTGCCGCGTCGCTGCGACATGCCGCTTCACCACCAGATGCGTAGAAACAGCGAGTTCCCTTAGCTCGTCGCTGGAGGCATGGAACAGCTCTCACGAGCAATGCTTTAGCGGTGCTCGGGCCTTGCGCCGCTCCTGCTCGTTCACGGCCAGTCACTGAGGCCGCAACGCCGGCAGGCTCACTACCACTCACTGCGGGCGCCTTGAGCACGTTTTTTTCCCTTGGCAAAAACAACCACTTGTCAGGCCGTCCCCAGCGGTGTGGAAACAAGACTGGAGCGGCCGTGCTCAAGGATCGAATAATGTTCCTCCAATTCATATAACAACAAGGCTACATGCATTTATACTTTCCTATGAAACAGAACACTCGCTAAATCCCCATGTGCCCTGGCCTGCACTCGAGGAATAATAAGAACGGTGTTCCTACAGTTCCCTAGTGATCGGCAATTTCGACCCATTCGGAGTTGCACATAGAGTAATCTATACAAGGTAAAAAGCGGACACTTCCATAGGACCGAGCGGCCCATTTAGTTGGCAGGGAGCGCACTCACCGGCCGTTGTAGTCCGCAACTAAATGCCGGATGGATAGATACCTAGTTTGACGTAGTGTGCTGGGCGGTAGCCTGCGCCGTCTGGTTTGCCGCGAGTTATGTTTTTCCTACTATTCCCGCATGCCGAATTTCAGCTATAATTACTTCACACGTATGTGTGAATCCTAATGCGGACAACTAATGAACAATACTATATAGAGTTAACACTGAATTTACAAGCCAGGAAACTCATGTAGGTTTGTACTGTCCAGAATAACACCACCAGGGAGTAACCAACAGAGTTTATTTTCACAACAAAAAAATATGATAGGCAGTTTGTGCCTCGTATATAATTACAAAAACTACAAAACACAAGCACCGTGTATTGAGGATTCACAAAGAGTACATCCTACAAAAGACGACAAGCATATTATGCATGCATGAAAATCTTATCAAACAACTGGAATTACAACTGCAGTTGGATTGAAAGCCGGGTTTGTATTCTCAAGCAAGTTCCACGGAAGGCGCAGACACACATATAACATATGTAGCATCAGCAACAAACACACAAAACAAAAAAGGCCATGCAGTATCAACGCTCGTTGATTGAATGCAATCTGTATGCAAACAAAAAGTTTAGCAGAATAATTCTGAAATGCACGATGACCACAATGGGAAAAACAGACAAGTAAATGTCTAAACGAGATTGCCACTAGTATAGACCTACTTAGTCTGTGACATAGTCATTAAATAAGCCTAACACAGCCTGCACTGCACAATTAAACATACCTTGCTCCTGCTGATGTAAGTAACAATAATGACCAAAATAACAAGAACTGAA